CTCATGAGAACTTGGCGGACACAGTCCCACGCATGGGCAGCAGTTTACCCTTTCAAATGGATGCTTGCCTGGTGGGTGTGTCAAATGAGTGGCGTCTTGATAGGCGCCCCTTACCAACTTTTCAAAAAACGCAGCCGCTGGTGTCCTGTTGGTAGTACCGATGCAATGGGAATTTTGAGACTCGCAATGATAGTATGCAACGTCTAGGGGCGTACAAAGCGAAGAAGCCTGTTGGGACCGCATAAGCTATAAACACAAACAAGGATCGGGCGTATTTTCATCTTTCATTTTCGGGCAGCCTGTGGTTTGGATTTTCGATTTTGCAGCGTTTAGAAATTTTCGCGCTTTCTGCTTCCTAGGGGAATGTTATCCACGATCTGCCTTGCAGAAAGCTGGTGGACGAGTGACACTTGATACAAAACTGTTGGCTGATTAAACAATTAAAAATGGTTGTGACGGTTGTGACGTTGAAGGGTGTGTGTCCGTGGCGTTCCGTCAAAGTTGGCGATTTTGAATCTGAATGCTCAGAACGTGTGGATTGCCAGGTTCTTTCCGGGCTTCAATTTTAACTAAGTCCTCCTACAGATTTGATCATATTGACTTTATATTCGATCACTGCAATCTAGACACGTTGGTGATCAAAAGTTAATCAAATATTTACTGTGCGTCAAACTGTGTGTCCGTGGCGTGGCACTGAATTTCCACCTTTCGCACTGAAGAGTCTCTCTATGAAAGCGTAAGTCTTTTGCAAGGTGTCTGAAACGCGTGACGATGTAGAGCGGTCTCCCTCGGCTTCCGGCGATGAAGGCTTTGGCGTGGGTCGACGTGGCATGGCATGGCGTGGCTGCAGCGGGCAACCGCCGTGCAGGCCCCGACGTAGGTTGATTGGGAGGTCCCGTCCAATGCTGCTTCCAGCTTTAATTTAATATTATTATCACTACTTGGCATTTTGTTTATTGGGTTTTTTGTTTTGTTTTGTGTTTCCTCAGTACTCACATTTTTTTTACTGTTTTTAATAAATTTTTTTCAAAATGTGGCTTTTTTGGCATTTAATGGGATTTAACCCTGTGGCTTAAGGAGTTTAAGGTTTAAGGTTTGATTGGACAAATGGTTAATAAGTTAAAGCCAATTTCCCGCTAAGCCCCGCTCTTTGCAAAGACACTGGGATTAATGGCAGCCATATTTTTTGACATGGCATGTGTATGTGTCCTTCAGTGCTGTGTACAAAACAGTAGACTTCATTTAGCTGTTTTTCAGTTTATGCCAATTAGCATTAAAACAACCATCACAGAGGACTTTTATGGTCCAAGAGGATTTTATCTGTGGAGCACATGGAGCAGGGCTCGTGTGTCAAATTTCAAGTCAGCGTGAAGGGCATGACTTTTTCAAAATTGTGTTTTTGGGCCTTAATTCCACCCCTCCCTCCATGGACTGAACTGTTTTTCTTCCCATATTTCCCACTACTGACCCCCTCTCCACTATACCGCCACACTACTGCACACTTACCTGTACTATTTAAGCCCCCCACACCCTAACACATATTTATACTGTCCTACTGTATATATCTATAGTGTATTCACTTGCCTCTGTCTATACTGTACATATCTACCTATACTGTTTCTTGAGAAGCATTTGGACACTGTTACTGGGCCAGGTTTTGTGTTTGTAGCTCATGGAAGAATCTATACATGTGATTATTTTATCAAGTAAAACAAAATCAGTATAAAATAAGAAGAAAAAGCTGAAATGATGAGCAGTCTGACCTATCGGCTCCAGGAAGGACTCGTCCATTGATGCTGATGGACTTCCCCTCCTGCAAACCACCATGGATGGATCCAGTGAAGGGGATTCTCTAGAAAGGACAGCACTTAACATATTAATAACTGCTTTTAATTCCTTCTACTGATATACTTGGTATTGCTAATATACTAGCAATTGGGAACATGGTTCCTACTGCATGCAATATTTTTTTCCCAGGATGACAAAGTCATGAGCTTTCCTACTCTGCCTCTGATTGGCTTACCTTGACCGTAACCAATGTCACTCCTCAACATAACCAAACCAAATCAATGAAGGCAACAAGTACTAGACAATCAGAAGGAGAGCAGGGCGTATCATTACTTCACATTAGTTTTTTTGGTTTGGTTTTGTTGGTGAAAATTAAATTTGTGATGCCAAAAGGATCTACTACTACTACATTTTACTACTACTACACACTAACTGCTATTGCAATCCCAATATCTTTCAAAATAATCACAATATGGTAACAATATTGTGCTGCCCTAATTTTCACTTTCACTATATCCTGACAGTAGTACATGAAACTACATGAGATTATCTGTCTCATGTACTGCTGCCAGGATACAGTGAAAGTTTCAATAAATATGACAAAAAGTTAATTTTTATAAAAGTTACCAACTAAAACTTTAAGAGGTGTGCGAAAACTGTTAATATATATATATAATTGGTGAGGAAAACTAAATTAAATGATTTCCAAAATTTTAGATTTTAAAGAAGTAAACTTTGACTGCTGAACCATAGACAGAACCTGCACTCTCTGATAAACAGGCTCGTCCTATATTAGAAAGGTTCAAACAACCAAAGAGCTGATAGAACAATGGCCAGTGGCAGACAAAAGAAAACAGACAAGTTCCTATAGTATCAGGAAAACATGAGTTAACTCTGAACCACCCGCTTCCTCTGATTGGTTACAGAGGCAGCACATAAACAGCGTTTCCTACAGTGTGCGAGCTCCTGCACTAAAGCACATCAGAGAAGCCATTTTCCCTCACCTGTTTTTAATTCGGGTTATATTTATGGGTTAAAGGTTAATATCTATCAAAAACACTCAACCTCCTCAGAAATCATTCAAATGACTGACGTGTTCTCTGTGCGCGCTTCCGTGGCTGCGTACGTGCAGCGGTCACTTTGAGCGTGCACGGTGGTGATGAAGTCAGAAATCTACGAAATAGAAAAAAAACCCTCAAACATAAATAAAGACTTCCATGTTTATTTTATTTGATTGTCAACTTCAGCATGAAAACAAAACCGTTATTTTCCTATTTTACGCGCACAAGAAGCACAACTGAAAGCTCCTCTGAGCGGGAACCCTACGGACCCTACGGACCCCTGGGTTTCACTTTATCCATATTCTCACGATTTCCCACCCACCACCACCCTTTCCACCCTTTCCACATTCTCTTTTCTCAGGAGAGCATTTTACTTTCTGATAGATTCACAGCCAGGAAGCAGCAGCCACAGGAGGAAACCCAGATGAAATGATACATAAAGTGTCAGAATGTTAATTAATTACTTTCACTGCGCTTTTAATACAGCCAGACCTGAAGTAACGGGACCCGAAAACCCGCCCTCGCATGGCCTCTCGGGAAAATCAACACTTCTGATATAAAACAGCCGAGTTTGGGTCACTCACCGGGTTGTAGAAAGGGGACTGCTGGTTAAAAGCCATCGTCTCAGATAGTGCTGCAGGTTCTGTGAGCTGCGGGAACGATTCCGGACTCGAGGCGGTTGCAAAATGGAGACTTTATTCCTCAAATAGGTTTCGATTTCATTGTAGTGGGCGTGTTTGAATAACGCCTGCCTTAATATAGATTATAATACTGTGCTTAATGTAATACTTTCACTTCTGTCACCCATCACTCCTTTATGTACTAGTTTGTATGTTTACATAGTCTATGTCTGTATAAATAGAACTGGTATTCAGTATGTGTATTGTGAATTGAATTAATTGAATTATTAAAAAAGACAATAAAAACGACAAAAGAATCCTTTCATGTAGCCTAATAATCTTTTTACCAGAATGTTTAAATGATCCTAATAAAAAAGATGACCGAAACGTTTACAGGTAACTGACACAAGCTGCTACATGTAAAGAATGTGGTTTCTTTTCTACAGTCATTATTTTACTGAAGGACTGTGCTGTTCTGACCAGTGTTGGGCAGTAAAGCGGTATTAGTAATAATATTACAGTAATAATATTTATTTCCCCTGTAACTAGTAGTGTAACTAATTACTAATATATTCTGGTAATAATATTACAGTAACAGTTTACAGTTACAACCTTTTGTTGTCACCCCCTACTGATCTGAAACCCAACAAGCCAATCACATCCTTGGATTCATTGTTGTAATGGTGGAGGGAACTAGTTTGGAAGATAAAAACATTCAGCAGCTGGAAATATTGGATGGATTTTGGGGAGAAATTACACAATTACGAAGTGGTGGGGAGTAGCAGAAAAGTAATGGAACTAGTAGTGTAACTAATATATGTTGGTTAACTCCACTGTCTCCAGGGGCAGATCGACAGACATTTTTCACTATATCCTGACAGTAGTACATGAGACAGATAATGTGTGAAAAAAATTCTGGTTCCTCTGGCTCCTCCTAGTGCTCCCCGATGGCATTTGCAAGAATCCACCGGGCCTGAACGAAAACAACCAATCAGAGCGGAGAAAGATAGAAAGACGCTTTGGGTTGGAATCTTGAATATAGGTGATTATTGAGTCTCATTCCCAGGATGTCAAAGCGTCTGTATTTGACGCCTTTCTCAACTCTGATTAGGAGCACTGGGAGGAGCCAGAGAAAATTCTGCAAATATGACAAAAAGTTATTTTTATAAAACTTACCTACTTCAGCTTTAAGGGGTGACAAAATATATGCTGGTTTACTTATGAACAATCAAATATATCAATATTTGCTTGAAAAATCCCCCAAATGAAGATACTGAACTCAAAAACATTACTGTCCTTATTGTGGCACATTAGTAAAGCACCGAATAGAAATATCTAAATGTGGCATTTGAAATCAATAAATTAAATCCAAATCTTAATATATTTTTCCAGATTTTTTCATTGAACTTAGTCTAAACTTAATCCAAAATGTTGTCATAACAGATCATTCAATTAAATGTGTTAATTTCTGTTTTTTAAGACATCATTTTTAAAATTAATTTAAATTAATATGTTAAATTTGACAGGATTTTATATCAAACTATTTTTAAGGTTGGTAACTGCCACCCCATATAGCCCCTCTAGATCCGCCCCTGTCTCCTTTGTCTATATATATCAAAAGTATTTCTAGAACATATATAACCCATGGCTGTAAACAGAATGAGTCAGCTAAATCTTGTTCCATCTCTGGTGGAAAAACTCTGTCTTTCTTTAAGTTACTGTGCTTCTTGCTCAATCCAAACAGCTGCCTTAGCTCCAACCATCCACGACTTAATAGTTCCCAGATGCATTTCAGCTGTGAACTGAAGATTTAAAGGGACCATAGCATTTCTGCATGTCTGCTTAAAGATCCGGTGTGTGTAATATTTAAGAGGATGTAGTGTCAGAAATTGAATATATTATCCATAGGTATGTCTCCATGAGTGTATAATATATATATATATATATATAGGCATTGTTTTTGTTACCTTAGAATGAACCTTTAATATGTACAGAAGGAGCTAGTCCTTTCTTATTTTTTATTTTCAGGTGATTATACACTAATGAAAACAAAGTTATGTATATTATGTTCCATTTCTACCAACAGATCCTTCTAAGTGTTACACACTGGACCTTCCTTTTATTTAAGACCACATATCATCAAACATATCCAAACATTCATTCACATCATCAGTACCATCAGTGTGTTGGAAGTCTTGTATGGCGTTAGACTGGCTTTATATTTACAACAATTACATTTACAGTTGTTTAACAACTGGAAGTTAGCTGAACAGCAGTTAGCTGAACCGAACAGTTTCAGTAAGAAGAAAGGTAATATACTGCTTTCCTAGGGAATGTAATTGCTAAAGCCACACACAATGGTACTTACCTCGCCATGGCCATTAATGCAAGGACCCACCCTACAAAGACATAGCTTGGTGCTTTATTGAGATACACATAAGAGACAGTGGCCATGATGGTGAATGTTGAGGGCATCTGATTCCGATTACCTGCAGTTCCTGTTGTGGCTTGATGGTGACATCACAAAAGATCTGGACAAATACAGAATGACGGTTCATGTTTTTAGAGAAACATCCTCTGCCAGTTGCGCCAGTTCACACTCAGAAAAACTGCTGAAGTCAATGTTCAAAATTACTCATCAGAGGCCACTGCAACGATCATGCAAAACTTCTATTGATTGAAACTTCTAAAGTGCCCCAGACTGGTTACTCCTCTCAGTTTCCTTATTGATCTTAAATATAGGGTTGTCCCAGACAGGAGTAAGAGTAGAAGGGCATAATTTGAAGTTAAATGTTTCATTTGCTCTCCACCAGGCAGTGAGAGTGTTCCTTATGCTTTTCATTTTGAAGCAGCTATGAGTCTTGGTTGATTTGTCTATAAATGCAATATGCTGAATGGGGAGATCCTTACAGATGG